TAACGCATAGAAATATATTATATATAGAGAATAGACGCATATCGTTCCGTCTGTACTAGTACGGTTCGATATCAACATGAATTACGTATGCTACATAAAATATACAAATTCTTAAAGTTCTACGCGAAGATTATGGCTTCATAACCGGTTTTAGAAAGCGAGTCAATTATTACGCGACTCAACTGAAGGTTTCCTTTTCCAAACGAAATCACCACTGAGAAATTACAAAAGAAGAAGAAGGAGAAGAAGATATCGTTGTTTAAAAGTACCATTCGCCCCCTGCCATTTTTTCTTCTTGAATGTTTTTCCATGGTTCATCACTTTATCGAATATGTGTAGATGCGTATGAATGATTTGCGAGTGTAATGAATCTGGTTGCGCATGGGGCATTACTTCTAATATTTATAGGAAAATATATGAGATTAACGTACACATCTGTATATGATATATATATATACACATACACAGGTAACGCATGACATACACAATATGTAACATATATGTATATATATATAAACAGTATTTTTCCCTTCGATTCTCTCGCATTTGTATTTTAACAACTGATTAAAGCTAGACATAACAATACTAAAGTAATAAACATTACAAGTTGTTAACACATGTATACGAGCATTTCTGACAAAACTGTATAATTAACAATAAATTCAATGAAATAATCTGCGATAATATGATATATACAGGGAGCGTCGTCTAAAACGAAAACGTTCTCCTCTGAAAACGTTGGAGGTGTACATGTACTTTCAATCTTGAGAGGCTGTCCCCGTATATATGCCTTGTATATATACAAATACATAATGATAGCATTTAGTCAAAATGAATATTAAGTATTCACGTAAATAACCAATCGTTTATACATATGTACACTTTAGATAGCAAGACTGCGTATAACTGAAGGTGTCTGTCTCAACGCCGATTATTGTCAAAATCCATTGTGTCGCAGACTTACGTTTACGCGCTGAGATCCACCCTATCGTCTCTCATTGAATAGACTAAGAAATCTATGACACAGTGAACGCAAGAATCGCATAGTCATTTTCGCAGACATTGAGACAGTTAATCGAACAGGAAGCTTAACGAAACGAAAGAGATACATATAAAGTCTGCGTAATCTCATTCGGTACAGAACCTTTGTTTAGCGCCTCAGCAACGAAACATGCACACGTAATATTAATACTAGTACTCAGCAAGTGATTGAGGATGCATTACGACAATGCCCGCGTTAATGTCGACGCGGTAACGTTTCTACATACACGAAGACACTTGTATATAATGTGTAGAACTCTGCATATACAGAAACAGAGTTGCTAAATGGCAGTAGGGAATCAAATAAATCATTGCGTCGTAATGCCGAAACCAGTATTCTCCTCAAGCACCGGCGAAACCATATACCTCCAGTACCCTAATCTCGAAGTCACCGTTAGCACAAAGAGGCGGATTGTTGAACGTGGAGCACCGATCTGTCTTACCGAATCTGATGTTTTCGTCCATCCATATGGCTTGTCCATCTCTGAAAATAAAAATTAGTTAGAACGATTGTCTAAGTTTTACAAAGGATATGTAAACTTAATTTTGGATGTATAAATTTCATAGTACTTTTTTGCAATTTTTTCTTATACTAGGTCATTCAAATTAATGATGCATTACAAGAATATTAGCTCAGTCATTTTATAAGGAAAAGAGAAAAATATAAAATAACTCTTGACGACTTGTGTAGTAAGTGAAACTAGTACGTTTGTATATATTATATGAAATAAACATTACCCGCCGCCAATGGTTATCATTTTAGAATCTGCTGCCATGAACAGCTCAGCCGAATGATGGACCTTGGAATCATTGTGCGAAGAGTCCATGCCTACCCAAGGGTATTTTGCTCGTTCAGGGTACAAACTGAACAGAAACGTTTCACCTGTGCCGAAGTAGGCTTGTCTTTGTCCTTTATCATTTTTCATATTGCGTTCGCACCATCTCGTGGAGCAATAGGCACCAAACACCTTAGTGGATTCATTGAAACGAATATTTATTGCATACGGTAAAAATGAGATTGGATAATAAATATGACAGTTTATAAAGCGTGAAATACCTACTTCATTATTACAGGTTTTTATCATCAACAAGGTTGGTTCGTGTTGCTCTACCCTTACGTAAAACGTCGTCAACGAACAACCATGTTCTTCTGTTGTGTATAGCAGTATTGGTTGATACATGGTAATCCGCATCGGTAGCCAGGACCACAACGTGAATAACTATCACAAAGTAAAAAGAAAATTAGTGCAATGTACACAAATAGGCTAGTATTCGTGACTGTGCAAACATTAGTTTCCGGTAATTTTCTAATCCTTCAAGAATACAGCAAACTAAATCACAGCAGCGAATCATGCGTTTGACTGAAAAAGGAAATTAGAAATAACGTAACCATAAAGCTTATAAATATAAAAATTTTGTATAAAATCTTTCAATGTCAACCGTTTTGAATATTCAGTAACCTCATATTAAATATTGGATCAATGTTTGATTCATTTTCATTGATTAATTGTTTCTCTTAGAGATAAATTTTCCATTATTATTGTTATTTGAATTAACTTCTATGCGTTTGTTAAACGTGAACAAATTAATAGTACAATAAATAAACTGTGGATATCTATGCATATTTAATTACAACGAATAAAATTTAATTTACAGAGGAAATTAAATATTTTTTGAAGATATGTATACGTTGTAAATGCATAAAATTCCTCAGTTCAATAATAAATATCTAGCCGTAATAAAAAAAATACTATATAAACTTCAGCAAATACTAAAGAAACTAAAAATGCATGTATAAAATGATAAAAAACATTCTCCATGCAAAATGCGATAGCATCATACACATGTAAAAGTGAACTGCTAAAATATATGTTGAACTTTCAATGAATCAAGATCGTGACTTAGGAAATTGATGATACAGTGCACATGATATAACGAAGGATCGGCTGATAGTAAAATATACATTGACATCTACAGCTAAATTGCACGCATCTCTAACAATTCTGAAGTAGTTTAGAATCACTGACATCGTTTCATTACTACTTGTTATTGGTATTACACACTGATCACATCACCAGAAAAATTAACCGACATTCGCATAAATATCACAGTAACACAAATTAATAATGATTCGGTTCGACGATGGAGTTCTATGGTGTCGTCCATGAATGCGTAAAACAGAATAAAAATAACGCATGCCAAGTTAATAGCAGGGGGGTGAACAAACTCGTAGCTTGGGTACGTTCAGAGGAGCACGAAGCGGTGCATTGTTCTAAATCAATATAGTAAATCAAATAATACATCCATTCAGTTTAACGAATAAACTGCAAGATACGGAACCTTAGACAATAAGAAGTGGCAACAGAAGTAACAACGATACCGTAACTACAAAGCTACAACAATAACTCAATCGAGAACCAGCCAACGGTGCTTGCACGTAGCTTCCAAATGGGAGACAATCAACGGTTCATTTACATCGGTCTGACCCATTTTGCAATTTAGAGGAACGTGTGAACGATTGCCACCGTTTGACCAACGTGACTCTATCGTACACGCGTTGGCTACCATCTTGGGGATAATAGCAGAGATGAGAACGACGTAGACAATATCCATGAATATATAACTTCAGAGTGGCTGTATCTACACCAATTAACGACAATACCGACATGCCACAGAGAGGTCACCAGCGTACTACAGAAAACTCTGCTACTGCGGTACTTTTTGTTTAATTGACAACCGGCAGGTACTTACATCAGGCATGTCTAGAATCTGGGAGCATATGCTTTGTATGGGATAAACGCCCATTGACAGAGCACGCGGTCCAGGACTGTGTGCACCCTACACCCATCACCATTAAATCCATCATCATTCCAGTAACGCAGCATGACACAAGACAACATAGAACCGTCAGTTATAATTGGTGTACGGCTGTGACTCGTTTTTAATCAACGAGAATGTATTAATACGAAAGACTGGTTAAGACCATCGGAAACACAGAGCGTACAAAGAAAGACGGCCAGCAATAATGTCAAGTTTTAATGTCACTTGCGGCACCGTATAGAGTAGATGAATGCTCGATTCACTATTAACCAGTATGGCCAACAAATAACCTTGATAACAAAATCATGTATCGGTATGCTAAGAAAGCATAAAAAATAATCGGTACAAAATCAAAGGATGCGTCGCTGCAGCGCCTGTTTCGTCAGTTTCACAGCTGTTACTACGGGACTCATAAAAACAACACTGCGGTAGACCGGAGTTTTTGAAACAATACTCGTTTAATGTTCTCAAGGGTTTTCCTCTAATTGCTTCCAAACATGGAAGAGACGTAAACGACTGTCGTAGCTCACCAGTGAACAGTCATCATCTACATTCTGAATATCGACGTGTTCTTTTTGGCAAAATGTATACCCAAGAGTCTACCTTTCTTAATTATCATTACGATTTAAGTGTCGTACTTGCAGAACACTGAAAGCCACTGAATACCTGATGAATAGATAATGAATCTTACAATAGAAGAGATCTTTGTTATTCTATTAAGTCGAAAGGCAGTAACTGCAAGTGGATAGACGGTAACAGCGATAAAGCTGGCACGATAAGTGTGACAAAGGGTGAGTATGAATGAATGTAAAACAGGTAGTAGTTCAGGAACAAAGGGCAGAGCACATGAAACTAACAACACATTTCCCAAAAAGATAATTATACGATACCCTGTCTTTGTATGTGTCTTCACACTCTTTCTGAAAACAAAGTGAATAATTGAACAGCTTTCGCATTGTTCGCCTTTGGTTTACCCTAAGAAACTATGTTTATACGATGAACTTATCGTATATATAGTAGTATCGTCTACGTTTATCATCTTACTGTAAACACTTTAGTGAGCTATTGATACTAAACCTTGAACGCCTGCGACACTTCTCGCAAACAAGAAAATAATCGTTTGAACATTTAAATAATCCGTGAAAAATCGGCTCACATATATGTACGCCATTGTAGTCTTATCAGCGTCGTTGTTAATATGCCAATGTAAAAAAATTATTGAAACCCTTGGACACAAGATCAACGGAGTAATTTATCAAATTCGATCGCAGGGAATTAGAATTCGTTTCATGTACGTGAGTCCACTCGCAAGAATCGGTTTTTCAACCATTTTACCGATCCATGCTGTTTCTTGAAAAGAAGAAGAATACGGATAACGTACTTCTCGTATCGTGAGCGTGTGTGACATCATCTGAATGTTGACTTGGGATTGGCTCGTGGGCAGATTGTCTGTGGATCGGGATCGAGCCAACGATCTGGATCCCGTTAAAACGCTTCTACTTTTGAGAGCCATTTCTGTGCGCAAAAATACCCTTGATATGTATGCTGAGCTGAGTCCACGTATCCCAAATGCGGTACGCAAAAATTTGGCCGGCGTCACCTGCAAATTCAAACGCGATTACGTCCTCATCTTCCGGTTCTCCGACGCCACTGTACCGGACGTACCGATCGCTTTACTCACCGGTATCTGCCTGCAAAATTTCGACAATGCGGCGTCAATACCGTTCTTGGAAATCTCATTCATCCACTCAGAGTTTTGCAAGGATGAGTGCTTATAGAATAATAAAACTATAGCCATCGCTACTCGGTAGAAGACCTGAAATATAATCAGAAACAAAATACATGATTCATCGATGGAAATAAAAAGGTGATTTAATTACTGATCATGCATTCAGAACTTTCAGTTAATAATATTTATCCAGTTTCATCTTACACTTTGTCCAAATGCGTTTCATTCATCTCACATTTTGAACAACTACATGAAATTACAACAGAATTGTAAACGAATAAGAAATTTTAACAATTATATATTTTTTATAACCAAAATTTGCATTTTCATGCAATTTTATATTTTCGAAATATGCGATATTTTTTATTAGCGATATGTGTTTTATAAAATACAGATACAAAAATAAATTTAAGAAGAAGTATTAATTATAATTGATGTTCCTTTGTATTTTATAAATCCGTAGATACCATAGAAACATAAAGATTTAATTTAATTTAATTTAAAGAGTTTAGTTATAATAAAATTATTTATAATTGAAGCAAACATAAAGATACTATGCGNATGCGAAACATTATAAAAGAAGTAATTTTAGTAATGAATATATTTTTGTGTTTTTCTGCATACCCTAAAAATTGATTCGCTCTACTGGCATACGATCAACACTTGAATTCTACATTCATACTATTCCTGGAAGAGCATTTCACATTGTACATACATATGTATATACATATATGTAGATTCTGCTACATATTCTTGAACAGAAGCCAAAATTTTTCAACACGTCCGCAAGAAGATGCAATAAAAATTGGAACGCTTTGAATTATATTACACAGAACTCCACGAATACAGACCTTAATGCCTTCATGTAAGAAACAGTCCATAACCCTGACTAGATGTTGGAATGGAAGAAGCTGTAGTATCCACCAGATCCAATCCATGTAAATTCTCTCTGCTCTTGATCCTGAACAATGCCTCGCTAAATGTACTGCAGCCGATTTCTGCAATAGAAAGCGCAAGTAAGAATTATATCTCCTGATGCTGCGATTTTCCAGAGCTCCGGCACTCTCGCTTTCATCTCCTGCCAACGCATATTTCACTTATCTAAGACTTTCATCGATTTCTGAAGAATTTCTACCGGTATTTTATCGAAACTAAACATCTGTTAATCTATGCTAATTTATACAGAACAATTTTCATGCCACGCAAATCTGTAAATCAGTGCGTGTTACATCTTAAATATAACTGAAATTCGAAAATGAAAGTAGAGGTAAAAGTTGAACAGTGTAACGATCTATTTTCTCGCAAGATTACCTTTCTTGTACTGAAATCGATGGAAAGTCCTTCATAGAAATAAATGAACCAAGGTTGTTTATTTTTAATGTTACAAGATGTTGACTTTTTTAAACACCTTAATATATATATTCTCATACATACAATATTCTAAAGTATTATTTGATTTGCATTTAATTAATAATATATAAATAAAATATTGCTTTATCAACTGAAGATTTGAGCAATAAAGAATTTCTCGAACAGCAAAACAGAATTGGTTTTATAAAATTTGGCATCTAAAATCTCTAAATACTAGGTATTTCAAAAGCATGAATTCTATACATATATCATAATTCTTTTGAATCGTTCTTGAAGTCGGCAAACAAGAGAATATGGTTCCAACCGACCAGCCCCTATCTTTCGGAGAAGTATGCGTTGTTTACCTTCAGACGCAGAGGTATAGTTAAGAAAATGTGGAAACATACTTCGTGCATACGATACAGGCACTAGGAAATGGGAATGATTTCAAATGAAACATATTCACGTAGCCGAATGACGTGACTCATCTGTTCGGGGTAATAACGGACATACCACGTGCTTTTTGGTGATTTGCTCAACCGTCTTCCAGGTAACTTCGTACAGAAGCTTCGTTTGCGTAATAAACATCTTGTCCTTAGCAGCAACCAGACTGGCCATACAATGATAACACTCCTCCTCTGTAAGAAAACGTATTTTGTGAGTATCCCGATTTCGTGCTATTAATAACTGGGAGCAAATCCAACCGCGTGTCTACATCTTTATTTATGCGATCGACCGAAGGAACCGGCGTATGGCACGCGATGTGAATTTCCATTGTGCGGGGGATGGGGGGGGGGTGAAAGAAGTGTCCCATCTGGACAACCTGTTTATTTGCACCCACCTGGCATGAAGTGAAGAAGAAGCGCCGTGATCGGGTATAGTGAAGGACTGTAGGTAATGTCGGGACAAGCGTATCCCAGGACGGATACAACCCTATCCGCGACACTCCTGCCCTTTCTTGTCAGATNGATACTATGCGAAACATTATAAAAGAAGTAATTTTAGTAATGAATATATTTTTGTGTTTTTCTGCATACCCTAAAAATTGATTCGCTCTACTGGCATACGATCAACACTTGAATTCTACATTCATACTATTCCTGGAAGAGCATTTCACATTGTACATACATATGTATATACATATATGTAGATTCTGCTACATATTCTTGAACAGAAGCCAAAATTTTTCAACACGTCCGCAAGAAGATGCAATAAAAATTGGAACGCTTTGAATTATATTACACAGAACTCCACGAATACAGACCTTAATGCCTTCATGTAAGAAACAGTCCATAACCCTGACTAGATGTTGGAATGGAAGAAGCTGTAGTATCCACCAGATCCAATCCATGTAAATTCTCTCTGCTCTTGATCCTGAACAATGCCTCGCTAAATGTACTGCAGCCGATTTCTGCAATAGAAAGCGCAAGTAAGAATTATATCTCCTGATGCTGCGATTTTCCAGAGCTCCGGCACTCTCGCTTTCATCTCCTGCCAACGCATATTTCACTTATCTAAGACTTTCATCGATTTCTGAAGAATTTCTACCGGTATTTTATCGAAACTAAACATCTGTTAATCTATGCTAATTTATACAGAACAATTTTCATGCCACGCAAATCTGTAAATCAGTGCGTGTTACATCTTAAATATAACTGAAATTCGAAAATGAAAGTAGAGGTAAAAGTTGAACAGTGTAACGATCTATTTTCTCGCAAGATTACCTTTCTTGTACTGAAATCGATGGAAAGTCCTTCATAGAAATAAATGAACCAAGGTTGTTTATTTTTAATGTTACAAGATGTTGACTTTTTTAAACACCTTAATATATATATTCTCATACATACAATATTCTAAAGTATTATTTGATTTGCATTTAATTAATAATATATAAATAAAATATTGCTTTATCAACTGAAGATTTGAGCAATAAAGAATTTCTCGAACAGCAAAACAGAATTGGTTTTATAAAATTTGGCATCTAAAATCTCTAAATACTAGGTATTTCAAAAGCATGAATTCTATACATATATCATAATTCTTTTGAATCGTTCTTGAAGTCGGCAAACAAGAGAATATGGTTCCAACCGACCAGCCCCTATCTTTCGGAGAAGTATGCGTTGTTTACCTTCAGACGCAGAGGTATAGTTAAGAAAATGTGGAAACATACTTCGTGCATACGATACAGGCACTAGGAAATGGGAATGATTTCAAATGAAACATATTCACGTAGCCGAATGACGTGACTCATCTGTTCGGGGTAATAACGGACATACCACGTGCTTTTTGGTGATTTGCTCAACCGTCTTCCAGGTAACTTCGTACAGAAGCTTCGTTTGCGTAATAAACATCTTGTCCTTAGCAGCAACCAGACTGGCCATACAATGATAACACTCCTCCTCTGTAAGAAAACGTATTTTGTGAGTATCCCGATTTCGTGCTATTAATAACTGGGAGCAAATCCAACCGCGTGTCTACATCTTTATTTATGCGATCGACCGAAGGAACCGGCGTATGGCACGCGATGTGAATTTCCATTGTGCGGGGGATGGGGGGGGGGTGAAAGAAGTGTCCCATCTGGACAACCTGTTTATTTGCACCCACCTGGCATGAAGTGAAGAAGAAGCGCCGTGATCGGGTATAGTGAAGGACTGTAGGTAATGTCGGGACAAGCGTATCCCAGGACGGATACAACCCTATCCGCGACACTCCTGCCCTTTCTTGTCAGATTATACGACAGACAATGAGTGCTATCCACGAACGGCGGTAACATGATTGATTTTTCCGGCAGCTCTGCAAACATATAGAATTCCGACCGTCAGCTCCCAGACAAATACAACGCCGAGAATAATTAGATTCGTCTGTTCAGAGAACTGCGACATTGCATATAGAGCTTCGCTTTGTTGAGTCGGACGGACGCTACAAAGTGAACGTACTTTGATGCTAGGATTCCGACTTTTGTGCATTTAGGAGTGAAGTCGATAACATTTGTCACTGTGACAGCCTATACAAATTTTTGTAGGAACAGACCAAATGAATTGGACTTGGACAGATGTATGTTTAAGCTTAGCGTGCTTAGGGGAGAACCAAGAAATGTCCACAGAATTTTAAACATGTACTTTTGTTCTAAATATTATCTTTTTATAAATTGTTTGTACTTTATTTTTACATGAATGAGTGCCAAAATGTATTATTTAAATATTATTGTATAAATGATTATACCTCGAACAGGAAAAATAATATTTATAGCACTTCTATACTTATATTTCAGACCTTAAACCTTGTAATACCTTAAGCGTCCTAGAGTCAATGATTAGAAGATCTAAAAATGTCTTGTTCTTTCTGCATATATTTACACATTCTTCGTATTTCCGGCATACATATATTTTTCACATCCTGCATAGTTCTTGCATATGCCGAATTTATTTATAAATGCGTTTAAATAAAGCACCAGGTCGTCAGAAAATAAATTACGGTGCTAGCATATCGCGTATGTAAAGGCGGTAGTTTCAATTAGTCAGGAATGTGTTAAGAGTAGGAACTTTAAAATTCTTGTCTTCTTATTTCAGATTTTCTCTCTGCACTTTCTAAAACCTGAGACAATATGGATGCATCATAAATGTTTTATAGGAAGCGTTATGAACCAATATGACGATGTATGAATTCAGTGCCTCGTGTGTACAAACTAAGAGCACATAGTGACTGCAAATAAGGTGAAAACAAAAATATGAATGCAATTCTTACACATAAACAGAGATTTTTGTTAGGAGGCCATATTACAACCTTTAACTCCGTCGAAATCTCAAAACTGACTTATCTTCATAACTCATATTATATTCAATTAAGTTATCTCCTGACCTTATCAGTAGACTGCAGATTTCTGTGCATGTATGGTTTATGTAAGTTTTTAAAATGCAATTAAACGTGCATATTACACTGAAAACTATTTGCATTATTCTGCTACGTTCACCGTATGGAAATTTCTAGTTGGTGTAAGAAATCCTTCCCTCCTCCAGATTTTTATAAAAGAATTCATAAAAATGAGAGTTTACACATCAGCTGGCGGTCTACTTATCAGTGTACCTACACTTTACTCAAGAATCCGAATGTGTAAAGAAATATAAAACAGTGGGAGGAAGGAACATATTACCGCCCTCGCCTAAACACTAAATCATACCTGTAGTCCCAAAAACTTGATTGACCATGTCCCAATAGAAGCCGTCCAGCATGTTCTTGCCGTGTGCATGTTGGTTGCAAAGAGTCGGCCAGAGCTGTGTCCTAATTCCGTTGTTCAATGGCCACGCGTTCTCCCTTATGACCAGCTTTACCTCCCTCTTTCTGCTAGCTTGTAGCAGCGCATTGACCTCGTTGAAGGTCTTTAGCGCTTGTTTCTTGCTAGTGGGCGACTCTGGCTGTATGACGATGTTCGTCGTGTCGACGTGCGGTGGAAACGCGTCATCGATATCGATGTTTGCCTCCTCCTCGAGCACCGACATCATATTCGGCAGGTTGTCCATCGAGGAGGGTGTCTCTGTGACTAACATCGCAGGTGGCGAGATTACGGCGCGAGATTCCTCTTCATTGTGCCGTTTGCCCTTACCACAGGAGCCATCACATTTACGTCATGTCCTGGGAGGTTTCAATTTTCATCTGTAACAGAACAATCATAACAGTAAGTACTGAACGTCGTTCAGTCGCGGTCTAACCTTGAAGGATAGGTTGCTGGTATTTTCAGTGGAGTAAGATTATGGTGGACTTGCGTTTAAAAGTTAGTCGCGGGGGTTCTTTTATCAGTGGAACAACAAAACTCGTTGAAATGATAGATTTCAAACTATAATGGAGTGGTAGAGACATTTTTTAAAGACGGCAACAAAATGGTATGCTAACTTATAGTCAGAAGAGTTGCACAGTGATATAGAGGGATAATAAGTTCTATATTCTAGACTATAATTTAGTTGCTTTGATAAAGACAAATGTCAAATTACTAATATATATATATATATTTCAAAATAGCTACTTCAATTCTGATGATTATTTTCGAGTTGGAGTATGTCCGACAGTTTCCGCTAAAACATTACCATTAGGTTATTAAGCATGAAGTGCACAAATGTTATAGTAAAATTATAGAGTAAAGTAAGCATTTCATACTTAATGAGCTAATAATTAAAAGTGTAAAATTGTACGAGATGCACATACTATGAATGAATCTTTCAAAGTATTCAAAGGGTGATCGTCTCCCTAGCATTTGATAGGTAAACTTGTTTTCTATCGGCGTTCTTTTTAAAAACCATATCCTTAAAAACATGAATTCGATAAAAATGCGCAGTCTGCTAACAACGGTAACCTTCAGGTACCTTTGCTGTTTAGACTTGCGTAAGTAGCATCGTGGGAGGGTAGATTTAAATAATTATCTTAAGGAAAATGAAAGACTGACACATCTTTGAACACAATCAAATATAATAAAATATTTATTATATACCCGATTATATATTTTATTTATTTATCCTAATGACAAAGCAAATATTACGCGTGAATCTACCCTACCAAAGTGCTACAGGTTTAATTATACTTCATTGACGATGTCTTCGCGCAAAATTGGCTGCTGTTGGTGATAATCGAGGTACCAAAAATGTATTAACTAAAATCGTCGGGCGAAAGAAGATCACATATATGGCGCGTACACGTATTATCACGATTCCAAAAATCTTCCGTAAACATTCCCATAATAACTGTAACCGTCGTCAATCGTATCATCCGTTTAGTCCACGATACATTCAATCGCGGCTGGTTTGAGCGTAAAAGGAACAAAGGAATAAAGGCAACGAGGGGGAAATTATCTGAGCCAACGCATTTCTCGCGATACCGCCTAATGTACGTAGTTTTCGTTGACGTCGATTTCTTGCTGCATGTTGGTCACTTTACAACTGAAATCATTTGTCTTCTGTAAGGATGCCAGCATAAACGAGGCTCGCGGGCGAACGTCGCTTCTGTATCCGAATGACGATTGTGTAGTTTTCTAATTCGTCCATCTAACCCAGACATCAAGTGATATGTAATTGTTTACCGTCTAATGCAATTAATCACTTCGATACAGATTTAGACATAGGAATAAATCAGTTTTCAGTGCATCTGCTATCAGTATTTTACCTACGAGTGAGTCAATAGCTTTCTAAAAACAGAAATTAATCAGACAGCTGTTTTCGACTAGGTATATTTGTCAAAAACAGCTGACCGGTTATATTTTTTATTAAATTATACATTTTATAAAAGTGTTGTATTAAAACAAAATGTGAGGAAAATTAAACATTACAGCAAATTACACAGTTTTCAAAGGGGTAGCTAATCGGTTAACAGCTAATTTTGTAACTTCTCCTTCATTTGTTCAATAGTAATTTAAATTGTAGAGGAAAGTGACAAAAAATGGAAATGTGTTTAATTTAAAAAAACTAGAAAAATGTTTTTATAAGAATTCAATTCATAAACTTTTTCGTGCAAGCATATATTATAATAGAAATTGTTCGAAGTTTAAATAAATAACCTTGTCGTTATTATAAAATTATTAAATATGGAGTAATGTGATTGTAAACCCCTTGCATTGTAACAACAGGTCAGGCTGATGAAAATTTCATACATAATCTACTAAGCATAAATGTTAGACAAGTCTTTTAGATCGAAATGAAATCCTACTCTCCTGTTAACGTTGAAATAAAGGTTGACAAACAACAAATGTAAATTATCTGTCTCATGTAAAAAATGAGTAAAAAATAAACGAATGTTCCTCATCGTAATCATAAAAGATATCGCAGTACAAGAAGTTAAGAAACTAACAAACACATCGGAATTGTACCAAACATTCGATTGTTAACATGATTAAGAATAATCAATTGGTTCACTCTGACTTATCGGTTTAAACTAAATCGGTTCCATTTACTCGGATTTGTATATAATCTTTTTTATTGACCCGAGGAAATATTGTGCTGCTATAAACTCTTATCTATCTCATTAAAGCAGTTAATTACCAACGATCAACGTTTTGAAAGTTCTTTAGCTCTGTAGATGAAAAACGATTACTGTAATAACTAGATAGCGGATTTTATGCACTGATGAGAAAAATAAACAAATGTAACACAGAACAATGAAAATGATTGAAGGTTTTAAGAATACTGTTACACTATTTTCAACTTACTAAATTTATTTACAGAGGAAATATGTTTTTATTTGGCTCTCGTTTATTGCAATCCAGATAGATAACTTTTATTTTGCATAAATAAAAGTTGTCTAGTAATAAGAATTTTGGTGAAGATTTTTTAACACAATACACAACAATTTCAGGCAAAATAATAATACTTCACAGAGTATTATTGTATGATGGAAACAACTTCATTTTGTGTACCTGAAGAATTCACGTAAAACATTTTTATATTTATTATAATTAGTTAAAAATTCTATTGTCTTTGCTTTGTTATTGTAACTTAAATAGGTAATTACTTTTTTACAAAATTAAAATTTTGTAAAGTCAGAATGCCGTCATTATCGATCCTATGTAATGATGAAACCAACAGGGGAGGTTGTAACACTTTCTCCGCTTCTCTTTTTTTTTTATTAATAACCAGGATATTGCTCGACATACAGCGAAACTGTTGTGACTCAATAATGTCAGATAAAACGGGGAATGGGGGTATAATCGGATACACGGGTCATACTCCATATTATTGTTCACATAAAATAAGTAGATTACGGACCTTTATGCATTTATGGTACTGACACATTTCGGAAATATGTCAGAAAACAAGTATCATCAACAGACATTAATGACATTTTTATTCCATTTTTACGATATGATGTATCTTCTAGTAACTAAATTGAATTTGTTTCTCATCCTGGTTTTTATTAAATAGTATATGAGAATTCGAAGTTGCAAAAAGATCCGCAATGTAAAATTAAGAGCTATAATGTTGCGCCAATGTATGACATTATTAAACAGTTCTATCGCATTTCATATTATTTATGAAATATAATATTATCGTTTGATGTTACAGTATACGAATATTATGAATAATAACGCTTCTATCATTTCTCTTTATACATAATACCATCACTGTACAGACAGAAAGAAATATAAGACTTCGTGATTTAATTTAGTTTAAAAAATTGATCATTTTATACTGAAAGTCGAATAATTTCATCAATGAAAGACTCTTACTTTCTGATTCCGTCCAATTAAAAAAACGTTTAATTAAGATTTCTAGCGAAGTCTATAGCTTGCTTTTGTTATTTGACTTCTTGCTAGCCGGCAAAATACATTAGTTTTTCTCATGTTTTTCTAAGTAACATTTTTGTGCTGTTTTATTCCAAAGCTATTGTGTTATTACCATCTCTTGTTTTCGTTACATTGTTTTAATATTCTCCAGAATTAAAAATACTTGGTGGTTACGAGATAAGAGTTGCATATTATGCAAGATTTCCTATCTTTTAGATCGTCATGAACTAAATTTGTGGTAAAAATAATTGCAATTTTACAAAACCTTGTAACATATTTATATACAAAGACACACAACTCTGAATATACCATTCATCTAAATTTAAAATCATGTTTTGCATTCTATTTCCAAATATGTGCTACAAAAGTATATATAGATTATAACATTCAGAATAAATTATTATAAAATGAATAATGCGGAGACTCCATTTGAGGTAGAATCTTTTGCATTATTATTAACTATTCACGCAATAAAATCGCGCTAAAATTCTATGCTACAATATTATCATTGGCTCTGTGGAACATTTACCACTTAACGAATTTAGTAATTTTGGCACTTACAGTGTTTCCTGTCGGGAATCTCTAATAAATCTGAATTCATAGAAGTAAAAAGTGGTGTAAACCGAAGCAATTTTCGTGAGAATGGTATGGCCAAGTGCTCGGAAACACGTGACATCGAGCTTCGATTTGCGCGGGAGCGAGAGTGTCGATCAGACAATGACCTCGACGCCGTGTTTCTAAAGGAGGCAGCTAGCAGGAGACAATGGATATATAATATCGCCTATAATTAGCCACGTAAAAGCTGTCGCTAATAATAAGCAAACCAGCCAGATGCAAAACCGTGAGTGGCGGCGATCACAGTGTACTTAACGGTTATTAATAAAATGCACCAGTTATCTTGCAGTCATAAACACGTTTAATGCTTATCAACACACCATGTGCGACTCGGGAACAGTACTGTACACACAATCCGTAGATAGACTGCTCAACAGATAAAGAATGTACGACAACGCCCGCCGCGCCGTGGAGGCTGCAAGGCAAACAGAATTCCCTTATCACCGCGCGAAATTAACACAAATCAGTAATCTTGAGAACAAGCCTATCGCGCGTAGCACTGCGTAGATTCTTAAAATAAGTTCGCTTCTTTTCTTTACAATATATGTATTTAAATTACTGGATGGCCATTTGTACGGTATGCGGATGAATTAATTATGTATCTCTAATTGCAACAAATGTTTCGATTTAAATTTTGCGCACCAGAAAAGACTTTAAAACTGATCAATTGTTTTAAGATCGGCTCAAATGATTTCAAGTTTATTAAGCTGATAGTTAGGTCAGTTATATTAGTTTTAAGATTTTTAATTTATTACATTCTCGAATAGGTTTGTTA